TTTTAAAGTATCAACCTACTGAATCGAAGCATAAATAATAAATGTACTTTTATCTGACGATGACCAGTTGCACATTGATTACGATTTTTTTTTTTAGTTTCTGAACAATTTTTAAGTATGAGTTGAATATGCGTTCATTATATTTAAGAAGACACATGGATAACAGCTATCTATCATTAAATAATTAAAATAAAATATTTGGTATGATCACCTTCTTTAACTTAAGAGAAAGACTATGCACTATTTCAGTCTTCTAAATAATATATATTTAGAGAAGTTATATTATCATCACCCTAAAGTCATATATGTTAGTCTAATTGTTTGGAAGTTCCACTTGTTTTTTAATATTATAGTTGAATTAACTCTACAATATATTTTAAATATCTATTGTATATATTATGATGCTTCTAAACTTAGAGAGAGAACATCTCTTTAACAAATTTTAATCTATCTATAAGGTCTCATGGTTCTTTTACGATCATAAGAAATTTAAAAGGAAAAAAAAATAAAGATTATATAAGATACAAAAAAAACAGAAGAAATAGAAACTGTGATCAACAATATATCTATAATTCGATAACAACTCAGCAACTTTACAACATTTCGATAATAACACAGTTATAGTTCAACAATGCAGAATGAAGAGCTTATCAATCTCCTCATGAATAGATATTTTGTAGTCCCAACAACTCGGAACAAAGGGTTTGGAAGAAGGAGGAGGTGAGGTTTTAGTTAAAATATCAACAATTTGTAAGGACGTAGAGATATGAAATAATTTGATCAAACCCACAACAACCTTTTCATGAACGAGATGACAATCAATCTTGATATACTTGGTCTGCTCGTGGACAATCGGACTAAAATCTATTTATATTGTTGATTAGTTATCACAGTAAAGAAGCGTTGTAAAGATATGAGAAGTTGAAAATCATGAAATATAAAGGTCAAGAACTAGAGTTCACAAGTCGTGCTTGCGCTAGATCGATGTTCTGCCTTAGAGAAACTACAAGAATCTGTTTGTTGTTTCTTGGAGCACTAGGATATAAGGGAGTTATCTAGGTAAAATAGTGAACCCAGTGATATAGTGTATTAGGGCATGTGGTCCAATCAGAGTCGTAGAAGGCTTTAAGCTGAAAAGTATATTGTGGTGAAGAAAAATATCAAAACAAGGGTACCTTTGAGGTATCTAAGAACATGAGTTACAACTTGTTGATAGGTAGAGTTGGATGTGGAAAGAAATTGACTAAGATGGTTGACAATAAGGTTATATCAAGACAGGTGGTGGTAAGATAAATGAGCTTTCCAATAAGGCAGGAAGGATTGTTTAGGAACCATAGGAATGGGCACGAGTGAACTATCAAGCAAGCCAGTTTCAACAACCAGATCAAGAACATACTTACGTTGGCTAAGTGAATGCCTTTGGAGTTGCAGATGACCTCAAGACCAAGGAAATATTTCAAATCTCCAAAGTTTTTAATACAAAAGGTGGAATGAAGGAGGTTGGTGATATGTTGAATTTCATCGCCGTTATTTCCAATGATAATGATGTAGCCGACATAGATTATGAGCATTATAATTTTTTCATTAGTGTGTTGTAGAAAAAGAGCGTGATCAAAGAGACAACATTTGTAATCATGGGAAAGTAAAAAATGTGTAACTTGGCATACCATTGACGGCGCGCTTGCTTGAGACCATGCAATAAGCGTTGTAATTTGCAAACTTGAATTTTAAAGAGGTTTTAAGAGTAGGTAGAATATTCATGTAGCCATCAACATTTGCGTGAGATTTTGTGACTCTGAGATAGCTGTCACCTTTGGTTGCCAAGACCTGTCCAATGATTTCAAAATTTTTACATTCAATTCATCAACATCAAAGGTCTTACCCAAACCGGTTAGATGATTCACTATGTGAGTGAAGCGCTTTTGAACATCAGAAATTGATTCTCTAGACTGAATTCTAAACATCTCATACTCTTGGATGAGCGTGTTCTTCCTTACACGTTTCACATCATCAATGCCCTCATGTGTGACTCTGAGGACTTCCCACATTTCCTGTGCTGTCTTACAAATAGAAATCCTATAAAACTCGTCAAGTACAACAGCAAATGAAATAATATTACGAGCCTTGATATCAAATTGAGCTCTTCTGTTTTCCTCAGCAGTCCAATTAAAATATGGTTTTTCTACTTCTACACCATCAACAATACTTTTTGGAATATAAGGACCATTTAGTACAACTTCCCAAATGCCTTTCCATTTTGACTTTCCAGAAGGCATAGTTATCACTAGTAAAAAGTGGTTATATGTTGATGGAAGCACCTTCGGCATATACTTGATTTTGATGACCGGCCATTTTCAAAAAAAATTGAAAGAATATCAAAGCAAGCTCTTATACCAATTGTTGGAATAATCAGTACCGATTTTGCGCAGCGAAAATATCAAAACAGAGTACGATACAAATTGTTTAAAAGCGAAGAGCTTGTTTGATCAATTTAAAAAAATGGTTCCTTTAATTTTCTCTTAAATGTTTTATCAAATAGTTGATGTGCAAAAAATGTAAAGAATGTAAGGAGTAGAAAAATCACAAATGATTTTTATCCTAGTTCAAATCAAAAGATTCTACGTCCAGTCGTTAATCACTATGAATAGTGATTAACCTTTTCACTAAAACAGTTTCACAGTTACAATGAAAGTGAATAGAAAATAGCAATAACAAAAGCACCTTCCTTCGACAAACGAACTAGAAGAGTGCAGCGAAAACCATCCTTCGACAAATGAACCAAAAGAGCTTCGTCTGACAAACGAATTGGAAGCAACAGCTTTGCCAACTTGAAGAGAACCGCTCCGACCTTTGACACAGAAAGCGTGAGCTTCTCCTATTCACAAGACTTGACAAGAGCATGAACTAGCACTTGAGAACTTCCTCAGATTCTAGGACTTGTGAATTTACTTGTGTGAGATTTGGGCTTCAGAGTTTTTTGTGAATAATTGCTATTACTTTGGAAGCATGAATGATTTAGCCCAAATTTTCTGTGATTGAACTACTTGCTTGCAGGTTTCATATGATCAAGGTCATCTTTTATTGTCCCTTATTCTTTTAGCCTTCCCATGAGTTTTTGCCAACTAAAAAGAGAATAAATTGTTCTAACCTTTGAACCTTGAGCCTTATGTATGTTTGATAAACCTTTTTTTGAAAATCTTTACCTTGAGTTGAGTTGAGAACATTTGATGAGGTATTGACAAAGGTTCAAGTTTGGGGTTGCTGGAAAGATTGAGAAAGGGAAAAGAAAAAGCATTGAGCTAAGTAGTGAGTACTTGAAAAGAAAAAGCAAAAGAAAAAGAAAAATGAAAAGAAAAGAAAAGAAAAGCTCAATGCAAGGGAAAGCTGGGAAAAAGAAAGAGAGTTTGTGCTTGAATAATGAAATCATAAATGTCTTTCTTAACTCAAAGATTTTGCTGACTAGAAAAACCAATTTCCTTCCTAGCCCAGCCATGTTACAAGCCATAAAAAGCCCTTGTGATGAGAACTTGCTTGTGAATTTGTTTAATTGTGGTTAAATGAAAGGCAAAGTTAATTTGTGTGACATTGTGATAGCAGAGTGAAAAAGACACCAACACCTCACTATACACTTTTTAGTTGAGTGATACACTTTTGAGTGCTTGAGTGATACACTTTTGAGTACTTGAGTGAAACACTTTCCTTGGTGAGGAGTAGTTCTTTGAATTTCTGATTACATCTTTACTTGGTTGATTAATCATTCTTAAGGATAGCATCTGTTGAATTATGTGAGCATCACATTGATTTTGATTGGGTTAAGGCATTTGCACCTTTTGACTGACATCCTTATGCTAAGTTGATAAAAGTGATTTATTGTCCTAGAAGAAAAAGGTTTTGAAAAATGTTGAATCATTGTAGTAATTGTTCTGAAAAGCTGAGTTACAATCTGTTTTGCTTGAGGACAAGCAAAGTTCTAAGTTTGGGGTTGTGATAACGTTTTAAAATACTGTTATCTGTGATGTAATTTTGACATTAACCCTTTTCTGCTAGAAACTTGCTTGGAATCGTGTTTTTCTATTAAGTTGTGTGAATAAGAGAGTTGAGGTTGAACTTAATGATTTTATGACTAAATTCCCTTGTTTTAGTAGGTTAATGAAGTGATTTGGAAGAGGAGTCAAAGTATGAAGGAGTCAGAACTCAAGGAGCGAGCAAAACTGCAGAAAAAGAGAAAAAACGTAGTGCTGAAAAAATCTGCGAGGCTTGGGCGCCCCTCAGGGGGCCTTGAGCACTAGAAGTGCACCGCACACCACCTGGGCACCCCTTTTGGGCGCTTAAGCGCCATAAAGTAGCATTCGATACCCGGGCACCCCACTTAGGGCGCTTGAGCACCAGTGACATGGGTCGGACCTTATTTCTATTTTGATTCGACTCTATTTAAAGGACCCAAACGCCCTAGGTTTTGTATCTTTGGCAGGAGGAGCGCAGCAGCACACTCTTTCACCCTCTGGAGGCCAATTTGGATGCGGGAGCTTCTATCTTCAACTTTTAGGGTTTTTCTATCTCATTCTTTTCCATTGTTTATCTAGTTTCACCATGTCTATAGTGAACTAAACTCTATTTATTGTTTGGGGATGATGTAACCTTGTGAACTCTCATGTATTTGAATTGATTCTTTATAATATAGGCTTTTTCATTAATTGTTAGAGTAATTGATTTGTTACAACGCTTTCTTTGTTTAACTCATTCAATAGCATCATTTATGAATTACATGAATGCCGGGAGGTTCCTTACAACTCAGGTTCTTGTTGAATTACTCCCAAGAGTAATATTTCTCAAGGATGAGGGTATGAGTCTTTTTCTTCTTAAAGTTCTTGATCTTCACATTTAATTACTAGGAATGCTAGAAATTGCATGAACTAGTGATTAAGGACAGGCTTCTTTCGTCAAGGAATCGAGTTTAAGTGATTTAGTGAGTGACGTTAACATTAATGCATAAAGAAGAATTCTTACATACATGAGAGGGAACTTGGCGAAATCTAACCCCAACAACATACTCATCTCATATTAAACAACATTTGTTTATCATTGTGCTACTCTACTATCAATCAACTTGCATTCATATTTAATTTTCTGTTTTTGCATTTGAAACCAATGATCTTATTTTCTTTAAGTCTTAATTAATCAAGTTATCACACGAATGTCTAGTTCTGAGAGTCTCTTGGGACACGATACTTGGTCTTACCATTTTATATTACTTATGTGATTCGGTACACTTACCGATCCATCAACAACGAATGGGAAGGAAACTTCCTTCGACAAACGAACCGAAAGCAAGCAGCGAACACTTTCCTTCGATAGACGAACCGGAACAGTGCATCAAAAAATCTTCCTTCGACAAACGAACCGGAAGAAAACAACTCTGTCAACTTAAAGAGAACCGCTCCAACCTTTGACACACAAAGCGCAAGCTTCTCCTATTCACAAGACTTGACAAGAGCAGGAACTAGCACTTGAGAACTTCCTCAGATTTCACTGTATTCTCAAATTCGCAAAGTTGTCTTCTATAGTGTTTGGCAAAGAGATATTTAGCCTACTGGTCCAAAACTGAAAAGACACATTACAACTTCCAGTCATAATCGATTATTGTAAGTAATAATCGATTATGTACAAGACTTGGAACAATTAGGATATTTAACTCTTCGACCGTTCAGCACCAGTGAAGAATCATGCTGAACGCTAAAAAGCTGTAAGGAACCTAGACGAACGGCAAAAGGTGATAATGACTTGAGCTGGATGCATTTGAAGCCCGATAACAAGTTGAAACACAGACCGAACGGCAGAAGGCCATGAGGGCTCAAACCGATCGCTAGAAAGCTGTGAGGAACCGAGCCAAATGACAAAAGGGATAAGGGGTTGAACCGAACGACATCAGGATGTGTCGAACGGTCGAAGAGTTAAATATCCTAATTGTTCCAAGTCTTGCAGATAATCGATTATCACTTACAATAATCGATTATCACTAGCAATTGCAATGCGTCTTTTTAGTTTTGGACCAGTAGGCTATATATCTCTTTGCCAAACACTTTAGAAGACAACTTTGCGAATTTGAGAATATAGTGAAATCTGTGGAAGTTCTCAAGTGTTAGTTCCTGCTCTTGTCAAGTCTTGTGAATAGGAGAAGCTCGCACTTTGTGTGTCAAAGGTCGGAGCGGTTCTCTTCAAGTTTACAAAGTTGTTGTTGCTGGTTCATTTGTCAAACGAAGCTCTTCCGATTCGTTTGTCGAAGGAAGGTTTTTGCTGCACTATTTCGGTTCGTTTGTTGAAGGAAGGTGATTTTATTATTTTTATTTTCTATTCACTTTCATTGTAAATGTGAAACTGTTTTAGTGAAAAGGTTAATCACTATTCATAGTGATTAATGATTGGACGTAGAATCTTTTGATTCGAACAAGGATAAAAATCATTTGTGTGATTTTTCTACTCCTACTTTCTTTACATTTTCTACGCGTCAAATGTTTGATAAAACGTTTAATAGAAAATTAAAGGAACCATTTTTTTAAATTGATCGAACAAGTTCTTCGCTTTTAAACAATCTGTATCGTACTCTGTTTTGATATTTCCGCTGCTCAAAATCGGTACCGATTGTTTCAACAATTGGTATCAAAGCTTGCTTTGATATTCTTTTAAATTTTTTGAAACTGGCTGGTCATCAAAATCAAGTATATGTCGAAGGTGCTTCCATCAACAGACCACCACTTTTTACTAGTGATAATTATGCCTTCTGGAAAGTCAGAATGGAAATGTTTATGGGGTCTATTGACAAAGGCATCTGGGAAGTTGTACTAAATTGTCCTTATATTCCAAAAAGTATTGTTGATGGTGTAGAAGTAGAAAAACCATATTTTAACTAGGCTATTGAGGGAAAGAAAAGAGCCCAATTTGACATCAGGGCATGTAATATTATTTCATCTGTTGTTGTACTTGACGAGTTCTATAGGATTTCTATTTGTAAGACAGCACAGGAAATGTGGGAGGTCCTCAAATTCACACATGAGGGCATTGATGATGTGAAACGTACAAGGAAGAACACGCTCATCCAGGAGTATGAGATGTTTAAAATGCATCCTGGAGAATCAATTTCTGATGTTCATAAGTGCTTCACTCACATAGTGAATCATCTAACTGGTTTGGGTAAGACCTTTGATGTTGATGAATTAAATGTAAAATTTTTAAATTATTGGACAGGTCTTGGCAACCAAAGGTGACAGCTATCTCAGAT